CTGCTCCCCCCCCCCCGCCCCTGCCCCCACGCCCCCACGGCCCCGGCGGCCAGGCCCCAGCCTCCGCGCGCCATTCCTCAGGCTGCGCGTCCAGCCAGCCGCGCCTGGGCCATGGCGGGCCTGGGGCCGCGACCCGCCAAGGGCTACCGGGTGGTGCTGCTCGGCAGCGTGGCCGTGGGCAAGACGGCGCTCGCCACGCAGTTCGCCTGCGGCAGCTTCCCCGAGCAGTGTGAGCCGTCGGTGGAGGAGCTCTTCAGCAAGGTGATCGAGGTGAACGCGGCGCCCGCCCTGCTGGAGATCGTGGACACGGTGGGCGCAGAGCACCTGGTCACCCTCAAGGACCTGTACATCAAGAACAGCGACGGCTTCGTGGTGCTCTACAGCGTGTGCAGCGAGGCCTCGTTCGAGGCAGTGCGGCCGCTGCGGGAGCGCATGGGCCGGCTGCGGGGGCCCAAGGCCGTGCCGCTGGTGCTCGTGGGCACCAAGGCCGACCTGGACGCCCAGCGCCAGGTGCTGACGGCGCGGGGCCGCGCGCTGGCCCGCGAGTGGCGGTGCCCGTTCCTGGAGGTCACGGCCAAGAGCAAACTCTTGGTGGACCAGGTGTTCACGCAGGTGGTGCGCGAGATGGAGGCCCTGGCCCCGCCCGAGGAAGAGGTTCCGGCCGTCCCCACCAACGCGCAGGAGACGTGGCCATCGGAAAGGTTCATCGGCTGACGTGCAAACGGTTCATGATTCCTGTTTTCCTCGCTTTTCTTGATTTCTGAAGCTCACTTTACTCTTCTGCCTTTTTGAAGAAAGTTATCCAGCTGTAAACAAGTGGTTGCTTCTATATATTGACTCAGATCGGTGCTTCAGACTGTCCAGAGCTTCTTAAATATTTTGTCGAAAACTCTGTTAACCTCTGACAGTGCTGGAAGAAGAAATTAAAAATTGATTTTTTTTCTTGTATGGAGAGAGTATTACCCTTTTCTTCGAGTGGCATTTGTTGCAGGATTCTTTTTTTTTTCTTCTTCTTTTTGGTCATAATTAACACCTTCAAATGTCATCTGACGTTTGACATTGATTGAGGAACATGACCTGAATCGAAGCTTTCCAATCCCTGAGGTTTTCATGTGTTCCCCTTTCATTTACAGCCTTGAATTGCAGCAGTAATATTTTCCTCTCTGCGTATTTCTAAATATAGTTATGACATACATAGCATTGGTTTGAAAGGGATACTGTATACCCTGGGAGGGGAAAAATCAACTGTGTACTCAGGCAAAGACAGTTCAGCTCTGCCTTCAGTTTTGTAATTGACATCTAGTCGATTTCTGCATCTGTAAATTAAGTGAAAATAAAATGACTCTAGAAGTTGATAGTTTTTAATATTTGTCTTTCTAGAACCTAAAGCTACACTTCCTAAAGTTTCCATACACCATATGTTTGCTTTTCAGTTATTTTCCCGGACAAGTTAGTCGCTAGGGTGAAAATGGCACCACATCGTTTTGTGTTTTTGCAGAAGTGCTTTCTGCAGCTAGTGTTATTTTCCTTGTCACTTGCCAGAGTCAGATATGTTGTCTGAATACCTGCCTAGTTTAACAGTGACAGGGGTGCTGAAGTAAAACCAAAACGTGAAGAATCTTTTTGTATAGTTTTCACGTAACGATAGAAGAGACTTTTCTTGTACTGGTTTAAAAATATTATTGTTTTATAATTTTAAAAACTGGCCTTTGATATTAGTTGCTTGTGTTTATTTGCACAAGTTAACAATTTTACCTCAGCCGTTGCAACAAAATTTTCACATTTAGGAACCTAACTTAGCCATTTGAGCAAACTTCTAAAAATAATAAACAAGAAAGCTCCGTGCCTGTGATCTGAAATAATTTTGTTAAAGGAAAGTTATCTATAAAGTGATGGTTATACAAGGCTCTGGGAGTTTTATTTATATTGTATGTGATGTTTGACTAGAAGAATGGATTTTAACACAAAAAATATATTTTAGAACCTAACAGTGCCTGAGAGCCAGTTCGCCCCACAGGAGAGGGCTAGGCTGGGACCTCCCCTGTCTTTTATCCCTTGCTCTTTCCCCTGGATGTTGGGGGCCGGGGCAGTTGGGGTGCTTACTTTTGAAGCCTTGAAACCCAGCTAAGTCACTACTCTCTGACCCTCTGTCTCCTGGGGTCACTCCTCCTGGCAGCATTACCTCACACCCTTTTCCGGAACCATCATCTCTCCAAGGGGACGGTTCAAACACAGGGGGGAGAGGAGGGGCCGGTGGGGTGGTAGGCAGGCAGGAAGCATCTCCTGGCCTCAGCTTTGTCCAAAGCTGCCCCCTCCTCCTGCAGAAGCAGAGCTTATAGAGCCAAGGCTGTTCCCTGACTGGGTGTGGGCGGTGCAGAGAAAGCAGGGGGTGGGGCTGGGGTGGGCGGGTGAACAGCAGCCCCTTCCCAGCCCTGAGAGCTGGGGCCCCAGGACTGCCAGCTGGCGACTCCCCTCCGCCCTGCCTGCCCTGCCTTTCTGACTCTACCTGCCTATGCTGAGGCCTCCGGGGAGGTTCTGTGTCCCTGGATCCCAGGCCCTCTGGATATCAGGCCTGATCCAGGAAAAAATACACAAATAGCCATTTCTTCCTTTAAATTACTAGAATCATCTCAGACTACCACTCAGATCCAAGTGTCGGCTTAGAGCCCAGGGGTGTTCCTGACTGACCGGTCAACACAGGAATGATCAGCCTCACGTGATCAGCTCCTGTGACCTCAGGAATATGTATGAAGCAGCTTTCTGGGTGTAATATGCTCACACACACACAAACACACACAGAAAATTAAAGACCCAGACACTAATTTTCTTTCTCTTCCTGCATTTCTAATTTCTAACTTATGCATGTTATTTACAAGTTTCCTGCAGTCCCTCTGGCCTCAACTGAGACCTAAATAACTCTACGGTGAATTTGCTAGTGGCCGATATGACCACTTGTCAGGGTACCATGTTACCCGGAAGCACTGTGCCCAGGTGGAGGGACCCGTGAAACTGTGGCAGCCAACCTGATAGCTCAAAAGTGGTGTTCAAATCACAAGCCCTTTGTTTAGCCCTGGGGAATGTGAAACTGGTTTCCAAAGAGTGAGGAACATTCACTTGCCCACAAGCAGGGTGACTGCTTCTGATTCTCCAAATGCCCTGCAACTCAGGGCACGGACAGATCTTTTTCTTGCCAGTGTGTTATGGTTCAGTTTGCACTATTCAGATTGCTGGTGATGCTGAGAATTTTTTTTTTGGCCTTGCCACGTGCCTTGCGGGATCTCAGTTCCCTGACCAGGGATCGAACCCAGGCCATGGCAGTGAAAGCGCCAAGTCCCAACCACTGGACCGCCAGGGAACTGGTGACGCTGAGAGTTCTTTTGGAGGTTTTTGTTTTTGTTTATTTATTTTGATTTCTTTTTTAAAATATTTATTTATTTATTTTTGGTTGCGTTGGGTCTTCGTTGCTGCGCGCGGGCTTTCTCTAGTTGCGGCGAGCAGGCGGTGCGCAGGCTTCTCACTGTGGTGGCTTCTCTTGTTGCGGAGCATGGGCTCTAGGTGCGCGGGCTCAGTAGTTGTGACACACGGGCTTAGTTGCTCCGTGGCATGTGGGATCTTCACGGACCAGGGCTCAAACCTGTGTCCCCTGCATTGGCAGGCAGATTCTTAACCACTGCACCACCAGGGAAGCCCCTGGAGGTTTTTAAATGACATTTGAGTTCCTCTTCTGTGAAATGCCCGCTCTTTTTGCCCGCTTTTAAACTTGTGTGATCTGTCCTTTTCTTCTTGGTTCTTGGCCTCTGAGACACCCCCAGTGATCCCCACCTCCTGGTACTCATGCCTTTGTGTGGTTCCCTCCCCTTGAGTCTGGGCAGGACCTAGTGACTCTCTTCTAAGGAATATAACATAACAAGAGTGACGGGGTGTCATTTCCAAGGTTATGTTCCACCCCTGCACAAGGATGACATGCAAATTTGTGAAGAATTCTATAATTTTTAGTCTTGGAAATATTAAATATGATAGGCAAAGTTTTAAAAAACTCTAAAAAAAAAAAAGATTATGTTACAGAAACACTGATTTCTATCTTGCTCACCCACTCTGTCTCTTTCTCAGAGCCCTTGTTCAGGGAAAAGCAAGCTGGCCCGTTGTGACTAGCTCAGTGGAGAGCGCCTTGTAGCAAGGAACTGATGTCTCCAGCCTGCAGCCAGAGAGGATCTGACACCCACCAACAGCCTCATGAGGGAGCTCGGGAGGGGGATGTTTTCCCAGTTGAGCCTTGAGATGACAGCCACTCCAGCTGACACTTTGCTGCGGCCTGTGGGAGACCTTGAGCAGAGGATGCAGCTGAGCCACAGAAACTGAGATGATAAATGTTCATTTTTGTACACCACTACGTTTTAAGGTAATTTGTTATGCAGCAACAGAGAACTAATACAGCTTTTTGGTAACTGGAAATGGGGTGCTGTCACACAAATACCTAAAAGTGCAGGACTGGCTTTGGAACCAGGCTGTGGGCAGAGGCCAGAAGGATTCTGAGGACTGTTAGATAAATGCTAAATAACCGTGGACAGACCATCAGTGGAAAGCTGGACTTTGAGGATGCTGTCAGTGAGGGTTCAAAAGGAGGTGAACAACAGGTCTTCCTGTTATGCAATGGCAGAAAGCTTAGCAGCTGTGTGCCAATTCTGTAGTTAAATGGAGAGCCCCAAAGGTGCCCATTGTTTTTGTTTTTTTAAATAGGGCTTTATTTATTTATTATTTACTTATTTATTTTTTATCTTTGGCTGCGTTGGGTCTTTGTTGCTGTGCGCGGGCTTTCTCTAGTTGTGGTGAGCGGGGGCTACTCTTCGTTGTGGTGAGCGGGCTTTCCATTGTGGTGGCTTCTCTTGTTGTGGAGCATGGGCTCTAGGGACACAGGCTTCAGTAGCTGTGGCACATGGGCTCAGTAGTTGTGGCTCAGTAGTTGTGGCACATGGCTCAGTAGTTGTGGGCTCTAGAGCGCAGGCTCAATAATTGTGGCCCACAGGCTTAGTTGCTCCACGGCATGTGGGATCTTCCTGGACCAGGGCTCAAACCCGTGTCCCCTGCATTGGCAGGCGGATTCTTAACCACTGTGCCACCAGGTAAGTCCCTTGTTTGTTTGTTTGTTTGTTTGTTTGCTTGTTTTCTGGCTGTGCCAAGTGGCTTGCAGGATCTTAGTTCCCTGACCGGGCCCCAGCAGTGAAAGCGCTGTGTCCTAACCACTCAACCACCATGGAATTTCCCAAAAGGTGCCCACTGAAATTCATGATCTAGCTGGTAGATTTCCAAGCAAAGTGCAGAAGTTGCTGTCTGGTTTCTTCTTGCTGCTTATCGTAAAATGTGAGAAGAAAGAAATAAGAAAGAAAGAAATTGAGAGAACTGGTAAACAAAAAGGAACAAGTACTTGATGGTTTTGAGAATTACCAGTTTCTCCAAATGGCAAAAGGGGCTAAAATTAAGAAATGACTTCCAAGTGGATTTCAAATCCAGAAGAATTGGTCTAAAAATGAAGCCAAGGGTGTGACTGTAAAAGCTTTTACTAAGACCTCAGAAAGCTCAAAGTTGATACCTCAGAGTACTGTTCAGCCACACAATGGGTCTCTTGAGAAGACTGAGGTGAGCCCACAAATCCTCCCAGTCAGACAATAGGGCCTAGGTATGGCTCCTCAGACCAGTCAGTAGGGGCCCAAGGTGGA